ACACTCTAGCGATGGACATCTAGTCTTTCCCTGAAGACTTCTACTGAAGAGGAATTTCCGCCTTCCCAAGGCAGCCTACTTTTGGAAGCTCTAATTATTAGGAAGTTTATCCTTACATCAAGACTTAATTTCTCTCTCTACACCCTACCTGGATTCAGTGACCATAGCTCTGCCCTCTGAGCCCTAGTAGAAGAAATATAATCCTTCTTCCACCTGACTGCCCTTCAAATACTTGAAAACAACTGCCATTCCCATTGGATTCTTCACTATTCCAGGCTTAAACATTCCTAGCTCACTCAACCTATCTTCACATAGCCTGATTTTGAGGGACTTCATCTGGTTTGCTCTCTGCTAGAAGCACTCAAGCATTAACAAGGTCTTTCCTAAGATGGAGAGCCTAGAACTAAACATAATGAAAATGTTTTCTTGGTTAACTATCATATTACTGTAAAAATATATATGTGTACAAAATTTCCTTGTGTACAAAGCTGAAGAGATTAAGAAGATTTCATGAGCCTCTAAAGAACATCAAGAGATGGAAATAGAGATGAGGAACAGCCTGGGGCTGGAGATCTCATGTGAGTACAAAAGAATAGGCATACTGGAAGAAAATGCAGTGAGAGGTAAGGACCTGATGAACAGTAAAATAAGACAAGAAAATTTTTACTTTGTCTAGGGGTTCAAGTTTTCTTCAAGGATCAATTGTTCATTCAGAGTAGGTGCCTTGATTCCACTGTACTATACCTACTGGAGAAAGTCTTCTCTTGCGGATAGTGTTTCAGCTCTATGGTATTGTCTATATCTCTTAGGCTTCCAAGAAAGCCATAATACTTGTGCTAGAAAGGGAAGCAAGATGAAATTAAGGACACTAAGTACTTCTTCACCACCATCTCCTCATTATACTTATAACAGAAGTATATATTGAACCACAGGACGTCCATTTTCTTCAACGATCTTCCATCTATAAACTTTAAGTTGGTCTCATTTCAGCAAGAAATTGAAGGTGACTATGTGGTTGAAGAGAAGAGGTATAGTGTTCTTCCCTTACCCTCCATATCCAATCAGATGCCAAGTCTTTTTCAAGTCTACTTCCACATCTTTCACATCTGTCTACTTCTTTACATTTAGAGGACCAGCACCCAAATTCAAGCACTCATCACCTTTCACCTAGCCTATTGAAACAGTAGCCTAACTGTGTCTCCCTATCTCTGATTTCTCCCTTCTCTAACCCATATCCTTCACCCAACTTCCAAAATGATATTCCTAAAGCACAAATGATACCCTGTCACTCCCCTGATCAAGGAGTTTTGGTGGCTTCCAGTAGCCTCTGGACAATATAAACTCCTCACCTAGAAAGTTAAAGTCCTTCATACCTGGGTTTCACCTGTCTTCTAGACAGATCCCATAATACTCCACATCTCATGCATTCTATGTTCCAAAATGGTCTACTTGCAGTTTCTCTTATATAACATTCTATCTTCCTGCCCCTATGCCTCTGCCAAACTTGTCCCTTCCATACCTGAGACCCTCTCCCTCCTCATTTCTACCTCGTGAAATCCCTGGGTCTTTTCAAAACTCAGATCAAGTGGCTTTTGCTAAATCCTCAAGCCCATCTTAGCACCCCCATTTCCAAGTTCCTTTCTATTCATATGTGTGTGTGTGTGTGTGTATTTTTTTTTGTTATTTTCACCTAGAAAAAGTAACTTCCTTGAGGGCAAAAATAGTCTTGCTATTGTCTTTTGCCCAGAACCTGGAACAGTGCCTAAGAAGTGCTTGTTGAATTGAACTGAATGAGCTGAAGCTATTGAGAGAGGCTTAAAAATAATTAAAAGGATAAGTGTTTTAGTTAAACTGAGGAAGGGAAAAATATCACAATCGGAAAAGGAACTGTTGATCAAGGTAGATGGAAATAATAGATAAGGAAGAAGAAGCAAAGTTACTCAACTTTTATTGGGCTTTTGTTTTCTCTGGCCATGGAAGATGAACTTTAGACTGAAAAGAACAGAGCAAAGTGGCTAACAGGAAGCTGACATCCAAGAGAAGTGGGGAGACAAGCCATTATCTGGCTGCTGTCGATGAATTCAAGTAACCAATGAACTATATTCTAGATTACTGAAAGAACAAACAGAAGAGACTGCTGAACCACTCTCAATGATCTCTGGAAGAGTGTGGAGAATAGGAGGGGTGTCACAAGGCCGGAGGAGGACAGGCATTTTCTGTTTTCTTGAACACTAGGATAAGAACAGAATCTACAAACTACAAGTCTATGAGCTTTGGGTCCTTGCAAAATTTTAGAACACATTATGAAAGAGTTCACACAAGGAGCCCATCATAATGGTTTCACCAAGAACAGGTTATGCCAAACAGGTTACCAGATCAAGAGAATGCTGAAGCTTTAATTTAACACAGATTTCAGCAAAGATTTAGACAAAGCTTCTCCTACCATTCTTCTGTTGACAAAATGAAGAGGTAATAGCTAGATACAAGTATGTACAGCTAGGTGGATTCAGAAATAGCTTACTGGACTCAAGGAGCAATTTGGGCTTGGACAATTTAATCTTCTTATCAGTGATATAAAGGCAGAGATAAAATGCTTATCTAGTTTGTAAACGGCACAGAACCAGGAAGAATAACTAATAAAATTAATTATAGCCAGAATTCCAAAAAGACCTTGAGACACTAGAACACTGGACTGAACTAAATAGGGATAAATGTAACATCTTAAGAACCACATTTAAAAAAATCAACCTCACGAGTTCAAGATGAGGAAGATGTAGCTAAACAGCAATTCAGAAAAAGATTTGGAGGTTTTAGTGAACAGAAAACTAAAGGAGTCAACAGTGCTGATGGAAGGTCACAATTAGTTTAAAGGACATTGGGGCAACCAGGAAGGGCCTCAAGATCATACCATAAAAGCACATGGAAGGAAATAGGAACACACAGCCTGGAAGAGTGAAAACTTAGGAAGACATCTTGGCTACATTTAAGCACTGCCATGTGGAAAAATGATTAGACTTGTTCTACACAGACCTAGGGGGTAGGACTAGGAACAATGCATGAAAGTTCCAGAAGCCAACTGTAACTCAAAACAGGGATATATTTCCTAATAATTAGAGACATCCACAAGCAGAAAAACCTGCATTAGGAAGTACTGGGTCTAGATAACTACCCATTAGCCAGATGTAGAAGGGATTTGTGGTCAGGTATGGTGGAGACGACTGGATGGCTACAAGGTAACTTCTGAAACTCTGTGACTTTGGGATTTGTATTACATTTCATTAAAGCAGTGAGGAGAAAACTAAGAGTCTAAACAAGTACAAAAGAATTTTAACTTCCCAGTCCTTTTAATAAACACCAAACTCAGCCTTTAAACAACTTGGGCCTATTCATTCCGGGGTGAAATTTGTAATCCTAAATCAGATGAACTTATTTACCTGAAAGCCTGACAACACAGAAATGGCTCTTCCACTCCCAACTATTCTTGGTAGCCAAAGAGTCTAAAACTTAAAAGCTTCTGACAGAAAAGCTATAAACAACAAATACGACAGTTGCAACAACTAGCTGAAAGTTGTAATACTCATAAAGCACTTTGAAAATGAAAACTTTTAGCACCATGAACAGAGTCATTTGACCTTAAGACTGCTTCTTATGACTTAATAGAATACAAATTATGACTTATTAGAATACAAAAATTGCCAGTGTGTTTCTTCTTTAACAGATTAACCCCTCCTCATGAAGGAAATGATAAAAAAAAACTGATTGCTCAAAATTAACTTGCAATGATTCTGAATATTTAAATATTTGCTGCTATTAATAAGAGATTGATATTTTTTAAAAGGTAAGAAGAAAGTGGATTAATAAGAATTTAGTGTCATTTATCATTTTTACAATGCACTTAATGGGTATTTGTCAAATGCTATTCCATTCTAGGTACTACAGTCATGAGACTTCAGCCTTTAAACATTTATCTTATACAGTTTTCAGTGACCAACCACTTCTGAAAAAACTCACCCCAAAACTTGGAAGCATCTTTGGCCATGCCAACAGTCTACTCCCCTAAGGCGAACCCCTGTCTAGTCTTTCTCCATTCCAATCCATCCTTCAGCTGCTGCCTCAGCTTCAGTCCTAAGTCTTTCATGAAGATTCCTCCTTCTCCTTTATCTAGCACTTACAGTCCAAATAAAGCACACCATTTGGCATCTGATACATACTTGCAGTATTTTTTACTATTGGTTTTTGTGTATTATTCTTGTTTCTCCAACAATATTCTGAATTCTTTGAAGGCAGGACCAATGAACTGCAGCTACTAGGAACCTTAGCAGTCACCTGGTCCAATTCCTTCATTTTACACACCAGGAAACTGACGCCCAAGTGACTTGCATAAGTTCACACAGATGATAAATGGCAAAATCTGAATTTTAACCTAAGTTTTCTGAGTAAATCCATTACTATTTCTAATACATCATGCTGCCTCTTCATATTCCCTACCTGTATTGTGAGGAATAAACAGTAAATAGACAGGTATTCCCTACAATATAGTAGTACTCTCTACAGAACCTGTTTTAGTAATGGTTACTTATTGATTGCTAGTAAAAGAAAATATTAACTCCATTCCATTTTTTGACTGCCAGAGACATATTTTCCACCCACTTCTCTCTAGATAAAAAAAAAATACTTGTTTTTAAAACAGGATAGATTAAAATTGTGGTTTTCAGGGAACATACCAAATTCGATATGAAATGATTACTTACCTTTTTTAATAGATCAACAATATACATTTATATAATGTACAACAAAGTCCCTAATTTTTGACTTAAAACCCTATATGCATTTCACCAGAAAGGAAGGTGGGAAAGGGGAATCTTTCTGTAAAGCTTGTGTAGCAATTTAAAACAATCATTGCCACAAAAAAAAAAGTGAAAAAAAGGAAAAAAATCACTTCTCACAATATCTTCTAGGGAAACAATGATGAGTTTTCAGGCTTTGACTGATCAACTCACCTATTCCAAGGGCAAACACAAAGGCCACAACACTTGTTGAGTTCTGTGAGGGTCTTCTCTGCCTCTCTCATGTCTTTGTTTATTTGGTCCATGCCTTCTTCTATGCGGTTCAGTTTTTCTAAGAAGAGTTTTTTGAAAGTTACATTTTGTGGGAAGTTACTAGCTATTACAAATATTCTAGGAAGCTCCCCAACCAGAAAATACTGCTATATAAGGCAGCATAATATGACATGGTCCCAAATCTAATAATGCATTGACCCAATCTAGTAAATGTCTGTAATGGCAGTGAAAGAGTGAACAGACAGTAAATACTACCTAACATGAAGTCAGTCTGGGATGTCCCAAACTTTAAAGCACCTAGCCCCCAATAAGAATTTGAGTTGACCCCAGGAAAAGCTTAGGTATATAGTTCTGTTTTGGAATACTATGGGCTGAGATCTGCCTTGGAATCAGACACCCAACATTATCCTTAGCTCAGGAGGTTCAAATCCCAGAATAAACAAGGGCCCTTGAGAACCAGGCCCATCTGACAATGAGCTCCAAGGAATATTCTAATTTGGGTGTCCCCCAAACTTGTTTAGTTCATTAACCAGATTTAAGTCTAGTAGCCTGATTTTCTGGACATAATAATAACTCCAATGGAAAAAGTCAAACACTGTATAATCCAAAATGTGCAAGGGGTTTCAGGTGGAGGAAATGTACCACCCACATGGGGAAGAGCACTCTTAAAGGACACATTTTGGAAACACCCATGAATAGCAAATGTGCAAAGTGAAATTCCGAACTTCTTCCAATGACTCCAAACTCACCCCCTTGTTCATCCAGCATAGTGATGGTTTTGATTCCTGCATCCTGAGACTAAAAGAAGTAAAAAAAAAGTCTACAGTATAGCTAAAACAAAAGGACTAATATCTATGTGTAAAACAAGAAGCCCCTAGGAAATACAGAGAAAACATTAAGATCGGAGAAAGTAAGATTCTAGGCAGATTAAGTCAGGATTCTAGATGTATATTTTACAACGGTCACTACCTGAAGTGAAAAGTGAGTCATTTGTCCCTGCCATACTATACTAATGGAAGAGGAAAAATCAAGTATTGACATTACATAGCTTGATGACATCAATACTTTCTGTTTTCAAACAAAAAAGTATTGTCTTCCTGTCCCTAAACTCATTCAGAATACTAATTTAACACAATCTCTCCTTGCTCGATTCCCATACTTGATTAGACAGAACTGACTTCATGTCAAACATAATGTTATCTGAGCAATAAATGTTACTGGGCATTACTGATCCAAATGTTAAATAGGTCACAAGCTTTGTAGCACAGAGCTCTGCAGGGAGAACAGTGGCATCATGTCATACCCTCCAAGATACCCAAGAGTAAGACATTTCTAGTAATATTCTCTCACCTCAATGGCTAACCCCAGGATTCTCCTTGTGCTTTCCAAGGACTAGAAAAACAAAAACAAAAAAAGAGCTTTAACATTTTAGTGTACAACAGAAAAATAAACAGAATTTTTAAATAAAAATCTATGTTTACCATGTTCAGGACGTTATTCTCCACTACATGTACAATCATTGCCAACTATCTCTTAAATAATATAAAAACAACCAAATTGATCATTAAAGCTGCAAGCTGATTTTCACCAGATACTGGGTCAGTCACTGAATCACAGAATTTGAGAATCAAAAAGAACTTCTACCGTATCTAATTCAATTCATACCCCATAGGATTACCTACTATAACATATCCCAGTGGTCATCCAGCCTCTGGGTGAACACCTCACTACCTCCCGAGGCAACCCAGTGCATCTCTGGACAGTACTAATTATTAGGAAATTTTTTCTGACAGCAAAGCTAACTGGCTTCTTTGCACGTTCCTCTCACTGCTCTTGCTTCTACCCTCTGGTACCAAAAAGAACAAGACTGATCCCTTTGCCACACGACAGCTTTTCAAATACTTGAACATAGCTATCATATCCCAGAGTCTTCTCTTCTCCATGCTTAACCTTTCCATTTCCTTCAACTAATCCTCAGGCATCACAAACTCAAGGTCCTTTACCCTTGTGGTGGCCTTCTTCTGCTTGATGCTCAAAATGGCCACCATACTCCAGATGAGGTCTGACAAATGGACTATCACGTCCCTGTTCTCTGAGGCTATACCCCTCTTACAGCTATCCAAAACTAAATTAGCTTTTTAGCTGCCATACCACCCTGTTGAGCCTGCAGCCCACTAAAACCTCAACATCTTTTTCAGAACTGCTATCTGTCCTTACCTTCACCACCTTATACTTCTGTTTTGACTGAAACTTCACATTTATTCCTATTAGATTCAGCCCAATGTACTAGTCTGTCACAAAATTTTTGGATTCTGTCATGCGGCGTATTAGCTATCCTTCCCAGCTCTGTGTCATTTATAATTCTGACGAGCATACCATCTCTGTCTTTATCAAGTCATTGACAAGAACACTAACATGGTACAATGCCAACCACAGAGCCCTGGGTTACACCATCATCAATATATTTTTCAAATGTATTTTCAAAATCCTCAAACAATAAATCAACAAGAATTTATTAAGCACCTACTATGTACTAGGACCATACCAGGTGCTAGGAATATAAAGATTATAATGGAACAGTCCTCATCTCCAACAGATAGCCATCAATCTAGTTCAGGTCCTTACTGTACCTCTCACCTGAACTATTACAATGGCCTCCTAATTGCCTTCCAGCCTCAATTATCTCCAATCCAATCACATAGCTGCCAAAGTGATCTTCTTAAAGCACAGGTCTGTCCATGGTCAGTTCCCTACTCGAATTTTTGGTGACTCTCTATTATCTCTAGTCCTCTGTTTAGGCTAGAGTGTGTTAGAATTTACTTTTAACTTTTTTATTGCTGTTTTTGTATTTTGAGGGAACGAGCTGACAAGGCAATAATAACATATCATTAGTCAATACCAAATGCATTCATTGGCCTAATCAATCAACAAACATTATGAAAGGACCAGGCTGGCCAAAATGGCTAAGTTGATCTTTCCTTACCTCAGCTCTGAGAAAAGGAATACAACACACAGATACAAGAGATGTGAAATGAATTAAGATTTTCAGTAAAATGTTTTACCTCATCAGTCACCTGCTGAGCCCTTAGCTGAATTTCTTCTGCTGACAGATCATCCATGATGTATCACAATTCTTGGTAAGCGAGAAACAGGAACTGCGATATTGTTTAAAAAAAAAAGTAGGTTTCAGGGGTTAAAGTGTATTATTCTCACCTTTAAAGATCATTAAGATTTATATGAACTGATACAAAATGAAGTGAGCAGAACCAGAAGAACACCGCACACAGTAATAGCAATACTGTACAATGATTAACTGTGAAGGATTTAGCTATTCTCAGAAACACAAATAATCTAAGATAATTCTTAAGGACTCATGATGAAAAATGCTCTCCATCTCCAATGAAAGAACTGATGGAGTTTGAATGCCAACTGAATCATACTTTTTTTTAAACTTTATTTTTCTTGGGACTTTTTTTCCTGTGTTTTCTTTCACAACATGACTAATATGGAAATATGCTTTGTATAACTGTACATGTATAACCTTTATCAAATTGCTTGCTTTCTCAGGGAGGGGAGAAAGGGAGAGAATTTGGAACTCAAAATTTTTTTAAATGAATGTTAAAAATTGTTTTTACAAGTAATTAGGGGAAAAAAATCTCTCCCATTAACTTGACTTTTTAAAATACATCCTTATGTTTATAATGAAGTCTTCAGGTTGAAAAAAAGCCCAAAGAAAGTTTTATAAATTGAGGGGCAAAGTGAGAAAGGATTTTAGCAGCCTTTCAAGTATGACCATTTCTACAACTCAAATTCCAAATTCAAACATTATTGTGCTGAATCTGCAGCCTGATCTGGGGCTCTAACCTCAAAGAAAGAAAGGTCTGTGTAAGTCCTACCTCTGTTACATACTAATTACTTTGCCCTGGCCAAATCACTTAGAAAATTGCACAGCTGTTTTGCATGACTGCACATGTTTAACCTATATCAAATTTCTTGCCTTCTCCAGGAGGAGGGAGGGAGGGAAAGAATAGGGAACTTAAAAGGTTTTTTTAAAAAGAATGTTAAAAATTTTGGTTTACATGTAATTGAAAAAAAAATAAAAATTAAATAAGAAGAAAACTGCATGAAGAGGTTAATACTAGAAATTACAGATCACAGTACCTAAAATGGGAACTGGTTTTCAACACTGGTAGATTTCCCTACAAGACAAGCTCACGCATCAACAAACACCTTTAAGAGTGCAGAACGTTGTATTAAGGGCAAGGGAGACATAAAGTGAAGGTAAGAAATGTTCCCTACCATTACGGAATTGACAGTATAATAGAAGGATAAGACACAAACAAGTGCCAGCCAAGGGAGTTGGACCCAATGATCTCCAGGGTCCCTTCTAGCTCTAAATCTATCTGATGAATACTGCACGTTACAGTAAGTGCGTTGGAATGCAGCCATACACACACAAACGCAAGTCCTGGGGAAAAGATCAGGAAAGACTTCATGGAAGAGGGGGTGACATGTGAGTGGGGTTTCAAAAGATAAGGGCAGGCATTAGATATAGAAAAGAGTAAGAGCAAAAGAAAAGAAGGATATTGGAGGGTGTATGTAGAGAACAGGGAGCAGTTCATTTTGACTACAGCACACAGTACATAGAAGAGAGAAATATGACAGGAGGCTAGACATGCTAAGGGTGGTGCTGAATTCTGTGGGCCTGTTAATGCTGGGGAAAGGAGCTGATCTGATCAAGAGAGTACCTAGACTCTGGCACCTTTAAATACAAAGAACAGCAAACAACCACCAACGATATATTTCATATGGCTATTGTCAAGGCTAATCACTTAAAAAAGGAAAATCCACCACACTATGGACAATATTCTGGTTACTAGTTTCTATGAACTCAGCCAGGCTGGTACTTGGAGAATAAACTTATAGCAATCACCAGACCAGAGGCGAGGAACCTGCAGCCTCAAGGCCACATGTGGCCTTCTAGGGCCTTGGGTGCAGTGTGGCCTTTTGACTGAGTCCAAGTTTTACAGAAAAAAACCCTTTTATTAAGGGGATTTGTTCTGTGAAGTCTGAATTCAGTCAAAGGGCCACACCTGAGGACCTAAAGGGCCACATGTGCTTCGAGGCTGCAGGTTCCCCACCCTTACACCAGAAATACTTGAAGACTTTCTAGCTTTTTAAAAACTTGCCAGAACTGGCCATCCACACTGGCATAGGTTTTCCCCCCCATTCTAAAAATGTTTATTAAATTTTTTCCAAGAAATTGAGAGGATGCCCATCAACTAGGGAATGGCTGAGCAAGTCGTGGTATATGAATGTAATGGAATACCACTGTGCTATAAGAAATGATGAACAGGCTGACTTCAGAAAAACTTGGAAAGACTTATATGGTCTGACGCTGAATGAAGTGATCAGAACCAAGAGGACTTTGTACACAATAACAGCCACATTACGCAACGACTAAGACTGTTAAACTGAACCCTTCTCAGAATTACGAGGATCTAAGACATCTCCAGAGGCCTCGGGATGGAAAATGCTGTCCACATCCAAAGAAAGAACCATGGAAGTCGAATCGCTATCACTTATTTTTACCTTCTGTTGAGTTTTGTTTCATCTTTCTGATGGTTCCTCCTACGGATTTTAATTTTTACTTACAACTTCACTAATGTGAAAATATGTTTAATAGGAATATAAATGTAAAGCCTATATCAGATTGTGCGCCGTCTTGGGGAGGGGGGAAGAAAGGGGAGAAAATTTTTCAACTCAAAAGAATATGGAAGTGATTGTTGATAAATCAAAATAAATTAATAAATTTTTTTTAATTACAAAAAAATTCTTTTTCCAAGAGTAAATAAAACACATTTTCATTAGTCCCAGATAAGATATAGTTTAGTTGAAGAGATTAAGGGATATTGAAAACTAGGACTGGGGAGGATGGTCACTCCATTCCTCAACTTGAATAGCAAGAACAGCAACTGAATGTCATGGTTTCTCACTAGTGCAGGTGTAATGTTTCTTTCTATCTTTTATTTTCAAAGAGAGAAAAGGGGAGTTGGTTTTAAAAAAAATGCTAGCTAGCTATAAAACATCTTTTTGTCCTAGTCCATTTTTTAAAAAAAATGATGCCTTTTTATATAGCTGTTTCCCAACAGTCCCCTCCTCAAACCATTTAGAATCTTCTCTTGTAACAAAGTGGATTAAGAATAAAAAAAGGCAATACAATGACCATGCCTGACAGGATATGCAGCATTCCACACCTATAACTCACTATTCCTCCAAAAGAAAGGATGAATATTTCATTATCAGTCCTCTGGAGTCACTGCATTGATCTGAATTCTGAGGTCTTTTAAATGTTATCTTTACATAACTGTGGTCACTGTGTGTATATCATGTTTTCTGGCACTGCTTACCTCCTTGGCAACATATAGGGAAAGAGTCATAGATCACAATTTGTTTAGCCTTTCCCCAATGAACTAGCACCTACATTATTATACGGTTTTTTTGTAGTCACAGAAGGTACCACTATGAATATTTTAACATACATGGGACTTTTTTCTCTTTCCCTGGAGTATATGCCCAATAGCAGTTTCACTTCATCAAAGAATATAAACAATTCAGTCCCTTTTCTAGCAGTTTCATATTGTTTTCCATAACAGCTGGAGGAATCTACAGTTCTATCAGTAATAAATTATTGTGCCTATTTTCCCACAATATTTTCCCAATGCTGACCAGTCTTATCTTTGTCAATCCAATGTGTGTGAAGCAAAACCTTCTGCTTTGTCTTTCTCCTATTATTAGTCATTGGAAACATTTTATGTATTTATTGATCATTTACATTTCTTTTTTTAAAGTTTTGGAAAATTGCTTATATTCTCTGATCACTTGTCCATACAAGATTGGCTCTCGGTCTCATATATTTATATCATATTCTCGTAAATCTTGGCTATCAAATCTCTGTCAATCATATCTGCTACAAAAACGTTTTCCCCTCCATCAATGGCTTCTCTTTGTTTCCCCATCACAAGGATTTTTTTTGTGTGTGGTAAATGCTTTTTAATTTCACATATTCAGAATCAGCAATTTTGATGTTTTTTTATCTCCTTTATCCCTTTATTAGGTGTGAATTTTCTTCCAAACTATTGACCTGATAGTTATCTTTCCTTCCCCTTGTCCTTTTACATTAATAGAATGCCAGAGTTTTTTAGAGCTCAGTCACCCCATGCCCTGACAAAGTATTAGCATGAACCTTTAGGAAAAATATTATCCTTCACATGATTAGTGTACGGTTTATAATTTTGTTTACTTTATATATCTCAAAACAATACCAGTAACTGTCAACCTTGGGCAAAACTGCAGAAGCCAAATTTATCTTTAGTGTCCTCTCAGAGGTGTTCTCAACCTACCAGGTAACCGTGGTTTCCTTTCTGAGCAATACATTTAGGGATCACTTCCTGATACTCGACCAAACCACCTCTCCTTCATTTTCTGCTTAGTGTCAAGGAAGAAGTACAAAGAACCTTCCTAATTCAACCAACAGTGTGGTTGTCTTTTGTAAATCTCACAGACAAAAATTCCCGAACACTTAACCCCAACTGCCTAAAAATTAAAAAAAAAAAATTTTTAATTCCCTAACAAGCTACTAATTAGGCAGACACTACTAGTTTCAGACAACTTTCAGAATCAGAGACAATAGAATCTCCATTTCTTCCTCTGGAGACTCAAATAAGAGAAATTACAAAGGAAGGATGTAAAAAAGCTCAGAATAGCCAGCTGTTATAGAATAGTTTTCAGCACTGAATATAACCGCACTAAAAATATTGGTGTTGTGGCAGCCATGACACAGTTGCTTAATTTAATTTCTTGAGAAAAGTTACTTTATTCATCACACTGACTCTTTTCACTGTAGGATCCTACAGGTCCTACTTAGAGTCCCCAAACTCAGAATCAATAGTATTTTTAGACCTGCAAGGCATATTCAGTTTCCTTACTACACTTAATCTAAAACAAGAAAACTTAGATGCTAGGAACTGGCTTCATATTAGATTGGTAATTAATAATAATAACAAAAACCCTTCCTCCCTCCAAATAGTATAAATCAAATACTTAAGACAAGTCTAAAACCAATCAAAATGTGGGTTTTAGTTCAGATTTGTCT